CCCTGACTGGCTCTGCTCCTCCCCATGGCCCTTCTGCAAGGGGATGTCCAATTGCCCACAGATGGGCCCTAGGTCCCCAATCCTCACTCCCCAATATTCACAATGATATGATAATTTTGGTTTTTGATGCCTAATACCTGATCCCTTTGATGCCTCGTGATCTCACAGGCTGGTGTACTTCTTCCACGTGGGCTTTGTTGTTTTTCAGTTAGATGGGCGCTTGTTTATCTTCAAGCCTATAGGACCCCAGGCTCTATTTCTTTTGATAGCTGGGCATGATCAGCTTTCTTCACCACATTTGCTTATGCACCCACTTTGCCTTCAGTGATCCTGTCAGGACAGGCTGGTGAGTGCACCAGTTTTTGGCCAAAAACCAGAATTCCCTATGCACCTTACTCACCTGACCTCACTCCATGATACTACTTTTTGTTTCCATGAATACAGAGGGACGTGAAAAGAATGAGGGAGGTGCTCTCAGCCATTCAAACAGATGAGTTTGAAAAATTTTTCCAAGAATGGAATCGCAGATTTGATAAATGTATTAAGTGTAGTGGCAAGCACTTTGAAGGTGATAAGGTTGTTTTATATAAAGAAAAAGTTTAAATACATAGCTTTGGAAAAATATATATGCATATATTCTGGTTTCTTGTATGTCCAAAGTACTTGAGACAAAGTCTCACTGTCCTTGCCTCTGAGTAGCTTTCTGGCTGTACTTCCGTCAGAAGAGTTGTTTGTGCTTTTGCAATCCAAAGTATCATCAGTTTCTCTACCAGCAAATGCAGTTCTTCATTGGTAATCCTTATTCAATGTCCAGCTTTCATGTGCATATGATGTGATTGAAAATGTCATAGTTTGTCATCAAAGTAACATCCTTGATAAAGAGGTCTTATGCAGCGATCTACTACATGCATTATATTGTTTGATCTCTTGATGGCTGCTTCCAAGAGCTTTAATTGTGGGTGCAGCAAGATAAAATCTTGACAATTTAAATCTTTTCTTCATTTACCTATTGGTCCAGATGTGAAGATTTTGGTTTACTTTACATTGAGTTGGAATCCATACTGAAGGTTGCAGTCCTAGACCTTGACCAGTAGTGCTTCAAGCCACCTTCACTTTCAGTAAGCAAGACTGTGTCATCTGTATATCACAGGCTGTTAATAAGCCTTCCTACAATCCTAATGCCACATATGATCCAACTTCTCTGATTATTTTTTTCAGCATACAGATTGAATAATATGGTGAGAGGACAAAACCCTGATACACACCTTTCCTGATTACAAACCCTTGAAGTGTTCCATTGTTCTGATCAAACATGCGATCAATATGCATTGATAACTATTAGCAATTGGAATGCAAATGTTGGAAACAACAAGAGAAGAATAGTCTATGGAAATATGGCTGTGGTGATACAAAGGAGACTGGAGATTGCATGATAGAATTTTGCAAGACCAACATTTTCTTTGAAATATCTTTATGGCAAATATAAAAGTCACATTGACTACATTTGTGGAAAGAGAAAATGAAGAAGCACCATATTAGTAGCTATAATCAGGCCGGGGCCCAACTCTGGAACAGGCTGTCAATTGGTCACACCTAAGTTCACATTGAAGCTAAAGAAAATTAAAACCAGTTTATGGGAGCCAAAATACGACCTTGAATCTATCCCAATTGAATTTTGAGAACATATCAAAAACACATTGTGTAGTCTATATTCTTTGTTAACACCTTAATTCAAATGTATTGACTCTTCTTCTATATTCCATATTAATTGACCAGCTTTCATATTTATATGAGACAATTGAAAATATAGTTTCTAGCACCAAGGCAACACACAAATCATAATATGACAAATTGACAGATAATTTTCCTTAGTATCTCAAATGTCCCAGATAGCATGGGAGGGAGAATGTAAAACATTTGGAGATCTAGGGAGAGTATTTATAAAACAACATTCATCATATATAGTATGCTTTTGCTAATACAAAACGATTTATAACAATATGTAGAGTCATTCTTGCTGTAGCGAAATCTATGGTTTTATATATTTCCTAGGAGAATATTTCTTCTGGAAATACAGGAATTAAAGAATAATGAAAGGATAAAGTTGTGTCAGTAGAGAAATATATGAATGAGGAAAGGACAAAAGTTTGCAGTATGAAGATGCTGAAAAAGCAGGGAATGCTTACATTAAAAATCACAGGCATGGCTCTCGGGTGCGATGGATTGGGTTTCATGAATACATTTGACTTTTTCAGATCATCAGTCTGTTTGTTAACTCCTGTCACTCATATGCTCCTAATCCTCTAAGTATTGCTAGACGCCATTCTAACATCCCAAACAGTACATCATGAATTCTCTCTTCCATGCAGTATAATTTTAGGTCAGAACACTTGGCCTTAAATATATTACACTTTTACATGCTAAAAACCCCTCTTGATTTCCTTAACTAATACAGTTGCTTATGGTGTGTATGGATTGAAGCATACAAAAGGGTGACTCCCTCCCCCTCCAAAAAAGTAACTCTTCTTTCAAAGCTATGTATTTGATTATTATTATTATT